TTTTTACTTCTTGGAGATACTGAGTTAAATAATCCATTATCATGTTTTCCCCTTTTGATGTGTTTGCTTATTGCTTTGTATTGGTCTTTTAAGGACTTTTTAAGCTATATTCCAGAGATTTTGTTAGGTTGTACTTTCATTCTGATTTTTTTCAAGAAACTTTTACGTTTATTCTATTATTTGCTCATGTTCAAATGGAATTGTTCAACTTCCAGGTATATAATTTTGTAGGGTTTTTTTTCCCTTTTTTGGATGTTTCTTTGTATACTTTAAAAAAATATTTTTCAAATATTTGCCTATTTCAGCATAGGATTTCCCCCCTTATATTTCTAGATATAGCAGATGTATGTACGTGCAAGTAGTAAAAATACGGGAGTAGCCATCACCTACATTAATCACTTCAACAAATATTTACAAGATGCTAAGGCGCTCTGGTGGCTTAGTGGTAAGGACTGTATGCAGCTTAACTCCACCAGCTGTTCCACGGGAGAAAGATGGGCAACGTCCTTCTGTGTGATTTATGAAAATCCACTGGAGGATCAGTTATGAGTCAGCTCCACCTCGATAGTTTATAACTACAGTAAGATTTTTGTTAACTAGAGTTTATAAATATGCTTGCTTTCCAAAAGTCTAACGTAGAGGAGAAAAAGGTTTTTTTTTTTCCATTTCTCTCTTCTTCTTAAACTTACTTATTGCACAGACACATATCAAAGTGAAAATGTCTTTGTAGTATAGTCAGATCCAACTCTTGACTGATATTCCAGTGGGTTTTCAAAGTCTGGATGTCAGAGGAGACCCTGAGTATTACACTGGAGCACTGAGAAGCCAAAGTAAAGGGAATAAATAAAAATTTTTGGGTACTGAAGAAAAAATTTCGAAAGGTAGTGCGGGAAGACAAAGTAAAGTATTATAATTAAATGTGCAAAGAGCTAGAGTCAGAAAATCAAAGGGGCTAAACTTGCTCAGCATTTCTTAAGTGTGTTAGAGACAATAAGATTGCCACAGGATAGAGCAGGGTTTAGGGTCGTTGTACATAGGGTCGCTATGATTTGCAGGTGACTTGACAGCAACAGCAAGAAGATATTTCACATGAGAAGAGACTTCCCATCTTTTTCCTGCGGAGCCATTGGCTAATTTTAATTGCTAGAGAAGTAAGTACTAGCTTTTGAGTTAGCAGCTTTATTTCCTACAGACTATACCACCAGAGCTTCCTAATAAACATTTATTGCACTCCAAATATGTGGCTTAGGAACAATAAACTGTTCTGCAATCTTGAAGGCACATTGTTCAAATCCATCATCTGCTCTGCGGAAGAATGGGAAGATTCCTCCCATGTGATTATGTGTCTCTGAAAATCTGCTGGAGGGTCACCTATGGATTGGTTCTGACTCGATGTTACACAACAAAAACAACGATTGTTTCATGTACTGTATATAAATAATGTTCCTAACTTCAGTACTTTAAAAATCTACCCATGAGTCACTATTTGTGAATCAGTGGGAGCATTACTGTGTTTGAAATATATATATGAGAGTCTGGTGAAGGTCCAACACACAGGACTCACAATCTCAACTTTAATCACAACACTTCACTTTTGGGGTATTCTTTTAGTGTATTGAGGTGCTGCCTAAATTTCATTTGAAAAGGGAGTTTGACTAAGCTTTTAATATGCTAAAACAGTGAAACCTAATGTGTTCTCCTAGGATCACCTTTAATTTGCTTCCACTAGCTCAATCCTTCCAGTTATTAGTCATCAAATTTTGTTATTTTCTACTACTTCAATGATAGGATGTGTTAGTTCTTGTTGTTATTTTTAAATCATAGTACCTAGGAAACAGCAATATCTTCTTCAATAGTTTGATTGATACCAAAATATTTTTAGTTATAATTTCCTTTACTAGGATTCTGTTCTCTCTCTCTTTTTTTTAATTCCGTTCTCTTGATAGACTCATGGAAGACATTGGTTCTTACTCATCAGCATACTCATGATCTTTGCCCTTTTTATACTGATGATTGTTTCTCTGTTATAGAAAAGTGAACCTTTACTGCCAAGAATTTTTTTTTAATTTTATTATTTTTATGTGAGTGTACCATCAAATCAGATCTGACTGGTACAGGAGGAGATTGTTCCTCCTTCCCCCGGCAGAGCATCTGGTGGATTCGAACCGTGCACCTCTGGGATTGTAGTTGCAGCTCCTTTCCACTAGGCCACCAGAGCTCCCCTTACTGCCAAGAATTAAATTATCTTTTGTGGTTTGCATGGAAAATTATTCAAAAGAATGATTGTATCATTCAAGGAAAACAACTGGTCCATTTGGCCCCTTAATAGATCAATTGAGTCATTGGAATGAATTGTTAGGTATAGGCAGTTAAATCAAAATCCTTAGTGTAGTGATATGTTGTATCAATGATGTGCGATTAAGAAATTTGCCCTGGGGTCTATTTTATTTAGAAAATATCAGAGAAAAAACAGACAATATAAAAAAAAAAATCAGATTTAGTGTACATTTAGTATGATTAGATAATGAGAATTCCAAACAGAATACATTTCTATAAAACTTAAAGAAACATTGTGATATTATCCGTTGTATATTGTTGTTGTTATTGTTGCTATATACCACTAAGCCTGAACCAACTCGAAGCTGACCCTCCAGTGGTCTTTCAGAAGCAGTTTAATCACATAGGAGAATAGTGACAGTGCTTCTGTGGAGCAGCTGGTGGATTCAAACTGTATGCCTTCTGGTTATCCACACAGCTCCTTACCCACTAGGCCAACAGATATCCCTTTATAAAAAGGATTTAATTACTCATGAATAACTTATAGTATGAAAAGCAAGTTTACAATCCTGTGGAATGCTTTTGCTGATTCATTTTGACCCCTCCCCAAGTCACTTAGACATTAAAATAAACACATATTTCTATTTTTTCAACACATAGTGTCACTTATAAGAATTGTGACACATGTTCTGTATATTTTATAATTTGGTTTTTACGTATGTTTATATGTGGCAAATCTCCATAATATTAATAATATAGAGTCTGGTGAAGCAATTGGGTTCTAGAGGGTAGGTTGTTTTAATTGAAAGTCAAGTATAAACTGTTTTGGTTGTTTTTTATTTCATTAACAATCATTGTTCTAAGTGGTCTAGCACTTGTCTGTCAGTTGTCTGTACTGAGAAAACTTTAGATTGCTGTGATACTGAAAGCTGTGCCACAGTGTGTCAAATGCCATAAGGTTTACCTTGGTGGACAGGTTTTGGTAGAACTCCCGTATTAAGCCAGACTAGGAAACAGGATTGACATCCACTTCTTAAATAACAGACCTTTGAAAGCCCTCTGAAATTGCAGGACAGAACAGGGTTCACATCTTTTGTTCATAGGGTTACTCTTAGTCCTAAGCAACTCAATGGCACCTAACAACAACAATCTATTTAGAATCATAAGCACCTCTGAAAAGGATTACAGAGATTACCAAATGATCTGAATTGTAGAAGAGGGACTTGAGGTTTAGAATGGTGATGTCTTCAATCCTTCTGCTGATTAGTTAGTGAGAGAGGATGGACTGTTCCCACTGTCCTGACACCAGTTCAGAGCTTCTTACCTGAGTTTACTTTTTTGTTGTGAATCACATTTCCATTTGAGCTATAGCAAAAACAGGAACATCAGAAATCTTTAGTATTTCATTACAAAGCTAAATTTAATATATTAAATTTGTATTACAAATCTTATCCATGACGTGGTAGTACAAATAATCTTATTCATGATATGTTGAAAATGGAAGAGAATTTATGGTAAACTTGATTGATAACATTCTAATTTGGATCTGTTCAGCCACTAGATTAAATTGGATTGTCCTTACTACTCTCCAATGTGAACATTAACAGGACCTGTATATGAGCAATGGATTTAACAGTACATTGGAAAAATCTCTCCTATTTATTGAATATACACCATGTTGTTGTTGTGTACTATTGAGTCAGAGCCAACCCATAGCCAACCCTCTCTCTTATTTATTAGCAATAAATGCATAATTATTACCTATAGTATAATGTTCAGTTTTGTAGTATTACAGCAAAGATAATGCCTTCAGAAAATAAGAGGCATTTAAAAGTGAGCAAGAAAGGTATGAAGAATATGATGTTAGATTCACTTCACTCATATATTTAATAAATACTGTGAGAATTTTTGGTCATGTGAAAATTCAGTCTTAATTACCTTTTCAGGATTCCCATGTCTTAAAAGAAAGTGGAATATTCTATATTATTATTTGGTTTATGTCTAGTTATTTAAGAGAATAATACTTTTGTAGGGAAAAAGAACTTACATTTTCATGTGTGGCATCTCTCTGATATAGATCTAGAGGATTACAATAGAAAGAGTTATTATTTCTAGTCATTTTCATGTTTTCCAGAGGTATGTCATGTATATGTAAAATTTTTCTTTGCTCATGTTATTGTTCTAAACTTATTGTTTTTCAGGCCTAGTTCTTTGAAGTAAGATGAATTGCCAAAAATTCTGCATGGTGGTATTGCTTTGGGGTAAGTTATTTGCCATTTTAATGTCTACTGGAGGTAGATATTTTATCCTTTGAAAAACCCTTTCCTTTATTGGTTAACAGAATTTCCCATTCTCATTGTAGAATTCTTCTCATTACCCCTCCTTGAGAGAGACTTCACCCTGATTCATAGGGAAAAGGGGATGGCATATTCTCTTAGCTACTTTCTGCTGGAAAGGGACCCTGTAGGTTTCAGGGTGAAGATCTTCTCTCACTACTCTAAAGGGCCCCTTTGACAATAGGAAACACATAGACTATTATGGAGATTGATTTTGGAATTTAGATGCACTGTTATCAATTGTGCTTAGCCGTGCATGTTCATATTCTTGAAGATGTATCATGGAGGTGTTGCAGCCCAGAAGACACAAATTTAACTAACAAGTTAAAAGTACATGAGTCAAAAATTGAAAAGCAGTAATATTCCACGTAGAGGCTTTAATAGTGGCACAAATCAACTTACAGAGGGAAGGTAGTTCCTACAATAAAAGGCCTATTGACTAGCACTTTGTCTATTATAGTATAAAGGTTAGGGATCACAAGATGTAGAGGTCCAACTATGTAATTTATTGTTCTTAAGTCCTGGAGCAAATTCCATCTACTACTGGATTGTTTTACAACTCGGAAGTCCGCATGCAAGGCAGAGGTGAACTAAGGAACTGCTTATGAGGTTTTCCATGACAGCTGTTCTTGTCAGTATTTATTAGTTTACTTGTTTCATGGTTGCTTTACAGTGTTCTTTAGCTGATCCATAGGAGAAAGATGAGAGATAGTCTCCTATGTGGTTTAAATTATCTGAAAACTGGCTGGAGGGTTTGCTATGCATTCGTTATGACTCAGTAACAGGATTTTGTTTTGTCACTATATCTTAAATTAGTAGTTTCATTGACCAAATTATCTTTATAGACCTTTACTTTTCTCTAACAAGCAATAGTATTTGAAAAATCATTTCTCCTTTTTTGTATTTGGGTGACTATTACAGTAGGTTTATTTCTGAAGAAAAATTATATATGTTGTATACACATATTTAAAATTTTATTGATATTGTGAAATATCTTCCATATATTTTGTCCAGTTTACAGTCTCAATTGTATTTCAATTTTCTTTATTCAACATTTATTGCTGTTGAGTCGATTCACAAAGACTATCATAATTAATTTGAATTATATTTTAACATCAAAAAACCAAAAATACAATGGGATCAATAGATAGCATCATAACAGAATGATATAATTTTTCACAGTCAATGGCTTATTCATTGCAAATACACTGTTTTAGAAACATAAACACAGGCTGTAAACATGTATTTCATCTGATTTCATGCAAAGCAATCAGATCAATTACATCCGTGGAAAGAATCTCTGGAGAAGCTCAATATCAGCTGTGAAAACTAGGCCAGGTTCTGATTGTGGAACATATCACCAACTATTCAAATGCAAGTTCAAGCTGAAGCTGAGGAAAATTAAATCAAGTCCACAGAAACCAATATTTGTCCTTGAGTCTATCCCACCTAAATTTCAAAACCATCTCAACAGGTTTCAGGCTTTAGACATTAATGAGCGAAGACTGGTTGAGGATATCAAGTGTGTCATCCAGGAAGAATGCAAAGGGTCATTACAAAGACAGAGGAGGAAGAAAAGACCAAGATGGTTGTCAGAAGAAGCTCTAAGTATTGCACTTGAGCACTGAGAAGCCAAAACAAAGGGAAGAAGTCAAGATATTAAGGAGTTGAACAGAAGATTCCAGAGGGCAGCGTGAGAAGACAAAGTAATGTATTGCAATGAATCGTGCAAAGAGCTAGAGTCAAGGGGGCCAAACTTGCTCAGCATTTTTTAAGCTAAAGAAACGAAGAACAAATTCAAACCTCGAACTGCAATACTTAAGGATAGTTTGGGTAGAATATTAAATGATCCAGAAACCATTAAAAGAAGATGGAAAGAGTACACAGAACCATTGTGCCAAAAAGAGTTGGTGGACACAGAAGAATTTTATGAAACAACATATGAGCAAGAGCCTGTGGAGATGAAGGAGGAAGTTCAAGCTGATCTGAAAGAATTGACAAAAAACAAGGCTCTAATAATCGGTAGCATACTGATTGACGTATTTCAACAAACAGATGCTGCCCTGGATGTGCTCACCACGTTGTGCTGAGAAATCTGGAAGAAAACCATATGGCCTACTGACTGGAAGAAATCTATACTAGTTCCCATTCCTAAAAAGGTGATCTGACAGAGTGTGGAAATTATCAAACAATATCATTGATGTCACATGCAAGCAAGAATAAGCTTATGATTATCCAGAAACAACTGGAATAGCACATAAACAGAGTACTGCTGGAAGTGCAGGCTGGAGGTAGAAGAGGCTGTGGTACTAGGGATATTATAGCTAATACCAGATGGATTTTGGCTGAAAGCAGAGAGTACCAGGCTATCTGTGTTTCATTGACCATGAAAAGGCATTTGACTGGGTGGATAACAACAAACTGTGGCTGACTCTGAGAAGAATGGAAATCTCAGAAGATCATGCTAATGCAAAACCTATACTTGGAGCAGAAGGCTGTCATTAGAACAGAGCAAGGAAACACTGCATTGTCCAAAATGGAAAGAGTATATGCCAGGAATGTGCCCTATCTCCATAGCTTTTCAACCTATATGTAGAACAGATTATCCAGGAGGCTGGGCTTTATGAGAAGTGTGGCATCAGGGATGGAGGTAGACTCATTAACAATCTGCATTATTCAGATGACAAAACCCTGCTTGCTAAAACTTAGGAGGACCTGAAGTGCTTGCTGCGGAGGGCCAAGCAATGTAGCCTTCAATATGAATTGAAGCTCAATGTCAAAACAAAGTTTCTCACCACTGAGCCAATTGACCCTCTAATAATGGATAATGAAGAGATTGAGATTGTTGACAGCTTCAGTTTGCTTGAATCTACCAACAACACTCTTGCTACCAGCAGCCAGGAAATCAAAAGATTCATTAGGAAAGTCTACTGTCAGAGATCTCACCAAGGTACTGAAGAGTAATGATGTCAGTCTGGATACTGAGGTACACCTGTTACAGGCCATGGTCTTTACTATTTCTCGCTATGTGTCAGAGAGCTGGACAATGACTAGGGATAATAGAAGGAGAGTTGATGCCTTTGAGCCTTCGTGCTGGAGAATAATATTGAATATACCATGAACTGCTAGGAGAATATACAAGTGCATCCTGGAGAGGGTGAAGCAAGGCTGCTCCTTGGAGGCAAGGATTCTGAAGCTCTTTCTGACATACTTTGGACATGTTGCAAGATGGGATCAGTCTTTGGAGAGGGACGTCATGCTTGGGAGGGTAGAGGGACAGTGCTGGAGAGGAAGTCCCTTGATGGGATGGATTGATTCCATTACTGGGTTTATGGGGATAGGTGTGTCAGAGACAATAAGATTGGCAAAATATAAAGTAGGGTTTAGGGCTGTTGTACATAGAGTCGTTAGGAGTCGCACATAACAACAACAACAACAACAACAACAACATACAGGTTGTTTACAAAGTTCATGTATATTGTTTCTCACATTGGATCTTTCCCATTTCCTTCACCCCCTCACACATAAACAATAATTCTGTTTTTAAAAGGGAAAACATTTAATCATTATTTATTATCATTAAAGTGTAAATATAACATTAAATGGATGCGGAAAATAAATAAATAAATAACTTCTATAAAGGGATACCAGAAAGTTAATTTATTCCTGTAAAATAAATGTTCATTTCCAAGTATAGCACCAACTTGTAAAGTGTAAGCACAGAGCTATGCTTTAGTGTTTGGACACTTAGAAAGTGAGCAATGACTACCAAGTACAATGTGAAAGTTCACAGGGAGATACAGTGCTAGAGCCTCTGTGGATGTTTGAATCCACCATGTGGTCAGTGGTAGAAAGATGACCAGTTTCCGCCTATTTGATTTATAACTTCTGAAAAACTGCTGGAGGGTCAGCCACAAATTGGAATTGACTGAATAGCAATGAGCTGGAAGTGTTTTATTTTTGCTTTTAGTACAATATAATTAATTGTCATATAATTCCCATTTATAACTTTACCAAAATGATTGATTGTCTATATGTCCTTTTAAAGTGTTAATAGTTTATTAATGTAGTAACTGCCTTTAACTTGGTCATATATTTCCATATTTTATTCTAAATTATTAACTAATTTCCATGTTTTAAAAATTATTCCAACAGAGTGCATTTATGCAAAAACTGCATTTAATATGTTATATCCAATTACTTTCTGGAGATTGAAGATGTCTTGCATGCCACCAAATGCAACTTATGACTTCCCCTTGCCTTCTGATGGAATGTCAAAGAACACTTCATATTTAAGTGGAAATTACAAACCAGTTGTTGAAGCTAATGTTAATTCCAGTGCTACCTACTTTCCTAACTTATCTTCGAAAACAATTTCCCATTGTTGTTTTTGGAATGAGAAGTATAACAATTGCTCTAAACATGCCGATACGGAGACATTTTCTTCAATTTTAAAATTTGTATCTTTTCCACAAATAGGTAAGTACTTAATATTCCTGGTACTAGTTATTATTTTCAAACATACAGAACAGTGATATAATCTTTCAAAAATTATGTGAATAAATTACTTTGTTAAGGATGTATATTTTAAGAAATCATCATCTTGTATTGACAATTAAACTAGGGTCAATCATCTGATCATACCCAAAATAAAATTTTGTAAAATACAATGCATAGTTAGTGTAGTCAGGAATGCTATATCTAGAAATCTAAACAAAATCATATCCTGTAGCACTGGAGAAGTTAAATAGGGCAGAGTCAGTTTAGGAGTATAAAGAAACTTACAAAACTCCCTAAGTATAGCATGCTGAGTAGGGTTAATAGAGGTTTATCACCTTCAGGAGCAATGCCATTTTGGACCTGATAATTCTTGGCTGTGAGGAACTGTCCTGAATATTTTAGGATGATTTAACAGTAGTCTTGGCCTCTACCCATGGGGTACTGGTAGTATTTTTCCTAGTTGTGATAATCAAAACTTATCCCAGACATTGTCAGTTGTTCCATACCCTGGAAAGCTACATCTCTCAAAATTGAGCATCACTGATTAGATAAAAAGAAACCTATCAGTATGCTGCAAGCAGTAAGGAATAAAGGAAAAACAGGAATAGGATAAATTCAGACTTCAAAACCACTTGACAGTTGTAGTTTTGTGTCCCTTATTGAATTTATAGCTGTTTAATTTGTCTTAAAATGGAATATTATTTTAAAGTATAAAGAAGAATTCAAGATACTGAAGAGCAGAACAGAAGATTCCAAAAGGCAGCTCAGAATGACAAAGCAAAATACTACAATGAAACGTGCGAGGAGCTAGAGTCAGAAAATCAAAAGGGCCAAACTCGCTTAGCATGTCTTAAGTTCAAGGAACTGAAGAACAAATTCAAACCTGGAGTTGCTATAATCAAGGATGCTTAAGGCAGAATATTAAATGATCCAGGAAGTATTAAAAGAAGATGGAAAGATTATACTGAGTCACTGTACCTATCGAAAGGAATTGGAAGATACAAAAGAATTTCATGAAACAACATATGAGCAAGAGCCTATGGTGATGAAGGAAAAAAATAACAGATGTTGCCCTGGATGTGCTCACCAAGCTGTGCCAAGAAATCTGGAGAACAACCACTTGGCCAACTGACTGGAAGAGATCTATATTTGTTCCCATTCCAAACAAGGGTGACCCAACTGAGTGTGGAAACTACAGAAACTACAGAACAGTGTCATTGCTTTCACATGCAAGCAAGATTCTACTGAAGATTATCCAAAAACAACTAGAACAGCACAACAGCAGAGTCCAGGCTGGGTTTACAAGGGTTCGTGGTACTAGGGATATTGCTGTTGATGTTAGATGGATCTTGGCTGAAAGCAGAGAATACCAGAGGACTGTCTATCTGTGTTTCATTGATTATGCAAAGGCATTTGACTGTGTGGATCATAACAAACTGTGGCTGACTCTGAGAAGAATGGGAATCCCAGAACATTTAATTGTGCTAATGCGAAACCTATACTTGGACCAAGAGGCAGTAGTCAGAACAGAGCAGGGTAACACTGCATGGTTCAAAATTGGGAAGGGTTTATGCCAGGGATGCATTCCTGTCTCCATACCTTTTCAACATGTATGCAGAGCAGATTATCCGAGAGGCTGGGCTCTATGATGAGAATTGTGGCATCAGGATTGGTGGAAGATCTATTAACAATCTCCGTTATGCAGATGACACAACCCTGCTTGCTGAAACTGAGGAGGACCTCATGCACTTGCTGCGGAGGGTCAAGGACTGCAGCCTTCAGTATGGACTGAGGCTCAATGTCAAGAAGACAAAGATTCTCACCACTGGACCAATTGGCAGCGTCAGGGTGGGTGGCGAAGAGATTGAGATTGTTCGCAGCTTCAGTTTGCTCGGCTCCACAGTCAACACTCTTGGCACCAGCAGTCAGGAAATCAAAAAGCGTATCATGATGGGAAAGTCTGCTGTTAGGGACCTCTCTAAAGTACTCAGGAGTAATGGTGTCTCTCTGGAGACTAAGGTGCGCCTGATACAGGCCATGGTCTTTGCAGTCGCTTGTTATGCACTAGAGAGTTGGACCATGACTAGGGAGGACAGAAGGAGAGTTGATTCCTTTGAGCTGTGGTGCTGCAGAAGAGTACTGAATGTACCATGGACTGCCAGGAAAACAAACAGATTCATCTTGGAGAGGATTAAACCAAGCTACTCCTTGGAGGCAAGGATTCTGTTGCTTCGTCTGGACATGCTTGGACATGTTGCCAGGAGGGACGGGTCCTTGGAGAGGGACATCATGCTTGGGAAGGTGGAGGGACAGCTCAGGAGGGGAAGACCCTCTATGAGATGGATTGATTAGGCGACTGGGGTAATCGGGATGGGTGTGTCAGAGGCAGTGCTGTTGGCGCAGGATAGAGCAGGGTTTAGGGCTGTTGTGCATAGGGTCGCTATGAGTCGCAAATGACTCGATGGCACATAACAACAGCAACAACATCTTAAGAATGAACTTGAGAAGTTGAGGCCCCTGTTCTGGCCTTGATATGCTAAACTTTTCTTTAGTTATGAAGGATGGAGTGGGAATGTGTGACCCTAATGCAATAGGTTTTAATCTCAGGTATAAATTAAGATTATTATATAGATTTCTAAGTAAATTTAAGGTTTTATATCTAAAATTACTTTGTTAATTAAAAGTTTATGAGCACTTAAACTTATTACTGTGCCAAGTACAGTTTGCTTTATAGGACATTGACGTGGTACTTAGTCTGCTTTTATTCTTCTTGTATTTTGAATGACAAACCGTCAATATCTTCATCGTCATCATTAATTCTGCTTTTCAGTCAAGTTTATGCTCAGTTTTAAAGTGCATAATGCAATAGGAAATTGAACTCTCTCATTGTATGTATTTCACATCTATCATAATAAAAGGGAGCTCTGGTGGCCTAGTGGAAAGAGGCTGTTGTGCTACCATCCGAAGGCAGTCAGTCAGAAGCCACCAGCCGCTGTGTGGGAGAAAGATGGGCATTCTCCTCCCGAGCAATTATGGCCTCTGAAAATCCTCCAGAGTGCCCGCTATGGGTCATCTCTGACTCAACAATACACAAGAACATTATATTATAGTGCTAAGATTTTTAGACATGTGTCATAGTTCAAATGTAAATCCCTGTGCCTTTGCTACTAAAGCAGACTTTTAAAAGATTCTTTTAAAAGTGTTTATAGTTTGGTATATGAGAGTTCTTTTTATTCTTTGAATGTGAGAATGGACTGAAATCTTATTATGTCTAGTTAAGTGATTCAAGAGAAAAAAACCCAAACACCCAAACAGTTTTGAGCCAGTAATACATTTCTGTTTTTTTTAAACTTTATAAGAAAATAAAAACTGTGGGCCTATGGGAGTAAATGAGTTGGAAGAACGCATGCCACCAGCTAGAGACAGTTTTCAATCTATCAAAATGATCACTGGAAGTGTTATTAGAACTTTGGTAAATTCAATTTAGCTCTTCACTTTCACTGAGTTATTTAGAATGTTTTTCAGATATAATGTAGTTTATTTTTAATTTAGGTGTAAACTGGAACATACAGTACTTGATGAAAAGGGACTTGGAATTATACATATGTTATATGGGGTCACGTAATCTTTTCAAGATAGATGACCTTGCTGTCCATGCTTTATATGTTCTGTAAGTATAAAATAATGTGGCTGTTTATGGTATACAAAGTTGTTTGTTGTTTTTTTTTTTTATTTTGCAATGCCAGATCTTCCACATGCAAAAGTGAGTTATAAATTATTTCTCAATCCTACATGTTCTTTTATTTCTATGTACATCTCTAAGGAGCGGTTTGTCGATTGCTCTTTTTTTTAAAAAAATTATTTTACTTCATTATTTTTTGTGTGTACTGTCAAATCATATCTGACTGATACAGGAGGAGATTGTTCCTCCTTCTCCAGCAGAGCATCTGGTGGATTCGAACTGCATACCCCTGAGACTGCAGTGCAGCTTCTTGCCACTAGGCCACCACAGCTCGCTATGTTTGTAGATTACTCTTATATTAAAAATATTGCTCTTCATTAGATTCTTTCTTACCTCTTCCTATTAATTAAGGTAGCAGAATATTCCAGACATGGATATGCTTTTGTTCTGAACTGTGAATTCAGGAAAGGGGCTCTAGAAATTGAGTGAAAAAGAAAAATATTTCTCTTTACTTTGATTTAGTTACCATGCATTTTCCAGGTGGACAGTTCAAATAGTCAGAAATTTGTAATTAACAAATATAATTCATCGTTTACTAGAGTCCCTGAGTGATATAAATGGTTAAGCATCATCTACTAACTGGAAGGTCGGTGGTTCTACCTCATGTAGAGTTGTATTGAAAGATGTTTTATGGTTTGCTTCTAAAAGGCCATAGCCTTGAAAATCCTGTGAGGTAGAGTTCTTCTCTGAAACAAATGGGGCACCATGAATCAGAATCAACTCCCAGGCAAGTGGTTTGGTGGTGGTCTTAGTGTCATTCAGTTTTTCTAATAACTTCATGATTATTCATATGATTTCTATATATATTTAAATGCTATGAAATGATTTTTTGTTTTTCTTGTTGTTTCTGGAGTACAGAACTTATCTTTTTTAATTCTCCAGTTGAGATCTACTATGTAAGGGATAGTGTGCTATAAACTCCTCCTATGAAGATTGAGAATTGTTACCTCTGCCCTTGAGGTGCTCCCAGAGACAAAGATGAACCTAAAAAGGCCATGGTCTTCTCAATTGCTTGTGAGGATGACAGCAGAATAATCAATGCCTTAGGGTTGTGGTGCTGGAGAAGAGTCTTGAACATACCATGGACTGCCAAGAAAACAAATCTGTCTGTTTTCGAGACGGGGAAATACAATTTCTCCTTTGAGGCCAAGATGTTGATGCTCCGTCTCACATACTTTGGGCACGTGGTCAAGAGAGACCGGTCCTTGGGGAAGGACATCATACTTGGAAGGGTGGAGGAAGACCCGGATGAGATGGATTGATAAAGTAACTGGGGAAATGGGGGTTGCTGTGTCAGTGAGACTGGCTCAGGACAGAGAAGGGTTCAGAGGTGCTGTATAAATGGTTGCTATGGGTCCCTGGTGACTCAAAGGCCCATAACAACAACATATTATATTGTTATGTTATTTTTTTTTTAAGCCTCTTATTTAGAGTCAACAAGTTCTCATGGAGGGCCTTTGTATTTAAAAGTTGATTGTTATGTTTTGGAGGAACAATCTTCTAGGTGGTGCAGCACTCTTCTGTCATTTTCTGTACTGAGGTTACCTGGGGTTGCTGTGATGCTGAACCTTGTGCCATTGGGGTGTTAAATTCCATATGGTTACTCATGGCAGACAGTGTTTGGTGGAACTCCCAGTTTCAGAGAGGTTTGGAAGCAGGAGTGGCATCCACTACTTAAACAACATGTCTCTGAAAACTCTACAAACTTTTTAAAAAGGTTGATAGTTATAGGAAGGCTTCAGGTCTTTTGTTCATAGGGTCTCTATGAGTCATGCTTGACTCAATGGCAATCAGCAACAACAATAATCTTTCAATATTGCAACTAAAGGCTTGAATTAGTTTTTCTAGTTTGAGAAATGCTGAGCAAGTTCTTCCATTTTGGTTTTCTAACTCTACCTCTTTGTACAATTCATTATACTTTATTTTGTCCCCTAGTGCTACATTTATGTTCCCTTCTCCTGCTCCTATTTTCATCTGTTCATTTCTGTTACTTCTGCATTTCTTCCCATTGTTTTGGCCTTTATCCATTCTAGGGCAATTTTCAGAGTCTTCTGATATGCATTTTGATATTTTCTTTCCTGTCTTTCTAATGACTTTTTGCTTTCTTTGTAGATGATGTCCTTGATTTCATCCCACAACTTGTATGCTTTTTGGTCTTTTGTTCTTAAAATGTTTTGGTTTTTTGGTTTTTTTTTTTTAATCACACTTAGATAGGTTTAAGATTGATTTTTTGTTCTCATAGACACATTTCCATTTTCTTCAAGTTAAATTTGAACTTGTACATGAGTATACCACTATAAGAAAGATAGGACAAATACAAATGGTGATATATGTACCAGTGTTCATAGCAGCATTGTTCACCATTGCAAGAATATGGAAACAGCCCACATGTCCAACCACAAACAAATGGATTGAGAAGTTATGGTACATTTACACATAGGAAACTACACAGTATGCAGGAGCAATAACTTTTAAAATTATTACCTAACTTGGGAGGGCCTGGAGAGCATTATGCTGAGTGAACTAACTCAATCCCACAAGGATAAATATTGTATAAGACTGTTATTGTATAATGAGTATAAGAATCCAGGAGGGGTGGGAAAGGCTGGAAGCAGAGGGACTGTGGATGTACAAGGGGATGAGGGGATTAATTATTGGGTTGTACAATTTGATCGGGGGGGGTGGCGAGGGAAATGGAAAGAATTTGTAAATAAACAAGGGAAAACATAAAAAGAAAGATAGGACAAATTACATAATAGGTTTTATTCTGTTTTGTTTATTACAGTTATAGTTTTGAGTTACTAAGTAACTTGGGAGAGACTGGAGAGCATTATGCGGACTGCACTAACTCCATTGCATAAGGATATAAAAATTGTATCAAGACCATTATTTTAGAGATAGGAAGATCACTAACATACTGTGTATGAAAATCCAAGGTTGGGAGAGTAGGAGCAGAGAGATTATAATGGGCAGGGCTTAGATCATAGAGTTGCACAGTCTGATAGATTCAGGGTGGGATGAGTAAAGGAAATGGGAAAGATCCAGCAGAGATCTGGAAAGACAGGGTATTTGTGGGCATAGCTCAATGTTGATTAATTTTATAAAGTAGAACTCATCAGAATGATTGTATGAAACATAGTGTGAATTAAGGACAATTCGAAACAGAATGTATATAAACTGGTCTTCTTTTTAAACCTATTAAAAAAATGACAACTATTTGTTAACGCTTTGCTCTTATTTTTCTATTATAGATCGGAAACATCAGAAGTTTTATCTCTACCCCCACGAAAAAGCAGTTTTACGACTGTTCAGTGCATCTGTGGTATTCATCGATGTTGTGATTGCCATATACCTGTGTCAACATCCAATCTCCACTCTACGTATCTTATGCTTTTGGAAATCACCACTGGTGAAGTTATTTTTCAATCACCTCCATTTTCAGTTCAACCTATAAATAACAGTAAGTTGTGCACTAAAAATAATAGATATAAACAGTAACAACACAAACAGATTATAAAACTGCTCATAAACATTTATGTTAACTTACTTAATTTGACCAATGATGTATGAGGATAACTTCAGTCCTAAAGAGTATTATGAATATCTTCTAGAGCAATTTAACAGTAGCATAGAGATCTCTGCAACAATAATAGAAACAATTTTATTTTTTGAAAGTAGTTTAATTTTTTAAAGTCTGGAGTCTCTCTAATGGATAAGATTATACTGTCTGTATATCTACATTTAAGGAAAAAAGCATAAATGTTTTAATATTATTTGACCTTATTCCTTTAGTAACTGTTTGTTAAAGTCTCTTCTATTTCAGGCATCCTTTTAGGAGCTTAAGAAACAATGACAAATTAGCAAAGTTCCTACAGGGACAGTAATGGGTAGAGAAAAAACATAGGAGATAATGAAATGATTTATTTATAAACATGATCATAAAAAAATTTAAATAATAACTAATGCTTCTAATACCTCTTCCTAGTACAGATATTCATAAAATGTCTTTTGGCCAACTTAAATATGTATTTGAAAATATATGTATTATGCTGTTCTGTGCTGCTGAGTCAGAGCAACTCACAGCTGACCTTCCAGCAGGTTGAAGCACATGCCTTTGGATTGGTAGCACAGTTGCTTATCCATTAGACCATGAGAGATTCCTATGTATATTTTCCTCAACGGATGAATTAGTTACTCTGTTAATCTGGTTTTATAAAAAACAAAATACACACTGCCAACAATTTAGTTCTCACTCATAATGATCCTATAGGGCAGAATAGAACTGTTTCCTAGGGTTTCCAAGGTTATAAATATGGAAACATACTGCCTCATTTTCCCCCCTGGAGCAGCTGGCAGATATTATCACTCACCCTGACAACAGCACATCGACATGTATACAACCAAGGTTCCCCATTCAATTGTGCACGCATATATTTCCAGGCCTTGTTAAGATAACATACCA